ACTGACCCTAAATCAAGTTACACGTTAAACAAAAATACTTTCATTTAAAACAAAAACAAACAAACATTTGTTTATTGTGTGTGTGTGTGAGAGAGAGACCAAGTCTTTTCTCTGTGTGAGTATGTGTTTATATGCTAAAGTGGACACATTTAAACCTTTAACCTGTCGTTTGTGAGCATGCCCGCATTGTTGGGACATCTGACTGGTCCACACGATGACAAAATACCCTTAAACGTAGTTTTTTGGTATGGTATGAATTAACTTTTGGTTTAAGTTAGCACTAGGAACATATCAGCATTGGTTAGGATCACTTTTTTCTGTCAGGTTTTTCTTAAATCACAAAGTTTGTGTGGAATGTCACTTGTTTACACACCGCTGTTGTTCCTAATCCACAACACTGTGAACTCTCCATCTCAGAGAAAAGGTCCAAACCACAATGTCTGTCATCCAGTCCAGTTCAGTTCTAGTTTGGTTCCAGATCTAACCAAAGCTGGTTTTACAGACAGACGCTGTTTAGATTGTTATAATCCAGACAGGATTATAATCTGTCTGTGTTGGACAAAAGTCTAATCTGATGAACACTTCAGACAAACTGACAGGAAATGCTGAGTTCAGAGACAAACCACTACGGTAATCTGGGACAGCCTAATGTATGCATCTGAGCATGAATCTGACTTGATTCACCAGCAGCAGAGGGGAGAGAGGTGTGCACAGGAGGGGGAGAAAGAACACTTTTTGACATGACGCCGGTCTCACTCAGCTTAAGATGTGGTCACTATTTCTGCAGTCATAACCCCACGCCTAAAGCCCACAGGCAGGACTTCCTGTGATGTCCTCTCACATGACTGGTTCTGGTGCAGCAGTCCCTCAACGTAAAGTTCCACCTTCTACAACCCTGAACTTGTGCTGTTAGTTAATTACCATTAAACTAAATATCACGTACCCATCAGTTGTAAGAGTGAGCTGCAGTAACAAACATCCTCCTGTAAAAGCTCCGAACACGCTCCATCTTCATGCAAACCGTCAGTGTGACCTTTATCGTCCCGGGTGAGCATCTCAACAAGCATCCTCGGTGCTTGGTGCCCATCTGGCAGCTGTCTGACATCATTACTGCTAATATTTGCAGGTTGTTCTAGACCGATGTTCCATCTCCACACAGATCTGCTTATGCACACACCCATCACCGGTCTGCATGTCGGGCTATGTGTGTTTGAATTATGGCTGGATTCAGTTACTGCTAGGTGTGATGAGGACAAGAGGATTTTTATGTGACGTTAGCATGATGAAACTCAGCAGCAATGAAGATTCAACTTTTTACACAGAAACACATTTAATTTTAGAAGCTATTGGATTATTGGGGTCATTGGGATTAAGAGGCCTGTTTCAGTTCTCTAACCTCTGTGAGAAGTTTAATAATTCTTTATGGATAGTTTAGGAATGACCTTTCACCCCTCCTGATTAACGAACAGCTCTATTAAGGTCACTGCTGTGTTAACACACGCCTGTATGCTCCAGACCAGCCAGAACTCCTGCGGGTGAATGTCTGATCAGAAGCTCCTGTCCCTCGTCCTTCCACCAGCAGCAGCACGGTGGTGTGAAACCGTTCTGACTGGATGAATGATGAGTAGGAATAGCTGTTTTTGCTCAATGGCAAACAAGGAGGAAGCTGCGTTTGGACCGACACCTGCCGCTAGCACGGCTCTGGCTGTGTGCTGCTCTCTAATTGGGATGCTGTTATTTTAATCACACGGGTTTCATCCCACCAGTGAAGACCATCACTCTGGACCGCATCGCTTCCTGTTGCCTTTTTCCTACAAATATTACGTGTTCTATTTTTAGGAAATCCCGATGACTTTTTTCCCGTTTCTGCTTCCTGAGATTTGATATCCAGAAAGCAAAAGCGAGGCTTTGTGAGTTCAGATGCAGTGATGTCTGCAACTACAGAGCTTAAAATATCCAGTCTGTGCACCACAAAAGTCCTTTTGTTGTGACTGGTGTGTTTGATTTCTTTGTGTCCCAGCATCTATTTTGCACACTGGGAGAAGCTCCGAACACGGAAGGGAGATAAGGAAGAGGACACTTCTCATTTTAAGGAGAAACCTTGAGCTTGTTTTTATTTTTTACAGCTCGCACACATGTCCTTGAACTGAACAGATAATTTCTGCAAAGTTAATTACAGACTTTTTCTCCGTGTGGCTCAGGTATTGATTAAATGATAGAGAACAGGACAAAGAGGAGACTGGATTTTCTCTTGGAGTCTAAACAAACACAGAGCCACAGACAGAGAAAAACATGTGTTCTGCTTCTAAAATGAAAGCTGTGAATGATGCAAGGTTACTGAAAGACGTTTAAGATGAGCCCTGGAATTTTTCACGTCTTATTTGCCAGAGAATGTGAAAAATCCACAACTGGGAGGGAATTGATCCTATTATCAAGGATTGTCTGTGTAGCCAAGCCTGATGTTGTGAAGCTTATTGCTCTGTGCTATGGAGCTCTGGTGTTATCATAACAGATAACAAAGGACACACACACACACACACACACACACACACATTTCTATAGATATTAAAAGTTCAAAAGTGCAACATTCCGTTTTTGTTGACAGAATTTTAGTTTGCTAAGAACCAAATGACTGAAGCAACCAAAGCTGATTTATAAAATAAATGTAAACAGTATTGTGATTGTACCTGTGTGTGTGTGTGTGTGTGTGTGTGTGTGTGTGTGTGTGTGTGTGTGTGTGTGTGTGTGTGTGTGTGTGTGTGTGTGTGTGTGTGTGTGTGTGTGTGTGTGTGTGTGTGTGTGTGTGTGTGTGTGTGTGTTCTCCCTCCCCCCGCACACGTGTCAATCTCCGGTCCCCGAGGGCCGCTATCCTACATGTTAGTGTTTTCCTGTTTGAACACACCTGATATCAAGCAGCAGGTGATTAACAGGCTTCTGGAGAGCATGATGAGCTGCTGCACAGATGAATCAACTGTGTTGGAACAGGGAAACAACAGAAAGATGCAGCATACCAACCCTCCAGGACTGGAGTTTGACACCCCAGCCCTAAAGGGTCGACCTCAGCTCTGAACAGAACAGAAGTCCAGATGAAATTTTAGTAAACGTGTTTAAATCCTCTCTAAAAGAGAAATAACAGAGTCGGTGATGTGTGTGTGTGACTTCCATCGTTTATGTAACAGACGAGGCAGAGAGCTGGATCAGACATTTCTGAAGCACACTTCAAGCTCTTCAGCTCATATTTCTCAAGGTTTCTATGGTGATGAGAATTAAAATTAAAGCTATATTTTCTACAACGATTTTAACAGATTAAAGAAATAAACTAAAACAAAAGCTGATGAGGAGACTGTCATCTGGACCTCACCCTCACCTGGACCTGCCTTTGATATTCTATGCCCACAATCCAGTTTGCTTCAGCTTGTGATGAAGCAGTGAAATGACTGGACTGGATGTATAAATGTGAGTTGTGTCAGCAGAGACTTCCCCAGTGTGCAGGTAGAAACCTGCTCCATGTGTTAGTCTGATCCCAGACACAGCTGGAGATATAACCCGGAGAGTGCTTTAAGCACGGGAGAGTCCGTGCGACATTCTCACCAGAAACCCCATCACTGGTGTGATTGCAGACTCCAGCAGCTGATGTGTTTTTGATTTCGAGAGAGATTAAGTGTTCCCCTCACCCTGCACTTGTGTGGATGTGTTTATTTATATCAGTGCATTTGGATGCAAGTCTGCCTTCATTTGGCTATAAGCATTAAACCCCTGAGGGTTCTGCACAGATCTGAAGCCAGCTTCATAGGATTCCCAGTCATCCCATGAGCCTGGGAGCAGCTTTGCAGACAAATCATCCTCTGTCCATAAGACTGTCAGCCGGGTGCGTGGCTTAGGAGGGGATCTGTAAACAACAACATTATTTGCACACAAACAAACATTCGCTGCACCTGTCAGGCCTAAAACACACGTGGGAACATCAGAGTACCGTTGGGTGTGTGTAGAGGAGAGGCTCCTAAGGTCTCTGCTCACTTCAAACAGACGAGTCAAGAAAAGACGGATGTAGTTTGAAAGGATGGAGAGAAAATGGGAGTCGTTCTGTGGGAAGCAAAAACAGGATCAAGGAGACTTTTGAAAGATTAAGAGAACTGTTCTTGAATAATAACCCCGGCACTTGTTGTGGTGTGTTAAGATGCTGTGCCAGTGCTTTCATGTCCCCAAACTGCTCGGCAGCACAGCCATAATTTGAGTCTTGGACAAAACAGCATGATCCACTTTAGTCACACTTGAAATCAGGATTGGAAAAATCTCTTGGCAAAAGATCTGAGAGAAGTCAAGTCAGGTCATCAGAAATTCAGCGGGACAACTCCTGCTGCCACTTCTGCTGCGCTCCCATCAGCTGGATGGATGGCCAGGCGCAGCTCCGGATGTGCCCAGAATCCATATGAACTCACGCCCTAAACAACGGCGGGCCCCGGACTCAGGCAGAGGACTGATGGAGAAGGCTGAGGCGTAATTGTAATCAGGCTGGTGCCAGTTTTCATTTGGGTCTCAGACCCGGGCCTAATGCAGCTCAAACACTAAAGGAGGCTGAGAGGATCAGACCCAGATGAAACGGACAGCTTTAGATCACTGGACTCCTAATCTGCTGCCTGTTGGATGTGATGTAATCTCACAGTGTGGGATTAAAAACAACACACACACACACACACACACACACACACACACACACACACACACACACACACACACACACACACAGGGGTTAATAGACGCTGACAGCATCTGAGGGGTGAGGTGAAGCAGCACTGTGTTTCTGTTTTATGTCCTCGAACTCTCCTGCTGACAGGTAGCGCAGCATGCTCAACTCTTCTTATCCTTGCCAGAAACATTTTCTATAATTACAATCTGCTGAGCAAATTCAAGCTTGGCGAGTCCCATTTGCATCAAGATCCAACCGGAGCATCTCTAATGATGACTGATCTGAAATGCAAATGTTTTCTTTTATTTTCCAGATAACTGCAACGGTCCTCTGCTGTCGGGCCTGCCACACTCGTCGTTTCAGAGCTCGTCTCAGTCCTCGGCCACTCACGCTGCCTTCTACGCCAAACTCAACCGGAGAGATGGTGAGAGCTCCAGCATATCTTTGAGATAGGAAATGATCTCCTGAGTCAGGAGTCCATCAGGATTCAAGCGTGGTGCACCAACTGGTCAGAGACCAGCTGCTGCATCCTTCAGGAAGTTACACACACACACACACACACACACACACACACACACACACACACACACACACACACACACACACAAATATACACGATACAGGCCAAACATGTTGACACACCTTCTCATTCAATGTGTTGTCTTTATCATCATGATCATCTACATTGGTAGATTCTCACTGAAGGCATCAAAACTATAAATGAACACATGAGGAGTTATGTACTGAAATAATAGAAAACATATTTTATATTCTATTTTACTCTGATTACTGCTTCACACACTCGACATTCTCTTGGTGAGCTTGAAGAGGAAGTCACCTGACATGGTTCTCCAACAGGCTAGAAGGAGTTCCCAGAGGTGTTTGGCCCTTGTTGGCCCCTTTGTGAATGCTCATGGTCCTGAAAATAAAGAAAATAGGTTAAAAGGGAAGGTGTGTCCAAACTTGTGCTGGTACACAGACCCAGCATATCACACCTAGTGTCAGTATCTCACTGGGCTGCAGTTTGCATGCTTCTGACTGGACCTTTGAACATGTTCATAATGTTTGTGTGAACAGTTCCCAGAAAAATCCAACCAGAGTCCTTCCGGATTTAGTTCCCAAAAGTGGGATAAGCTGTGAGACAACTCCAACGCGTGATTATTAAATGAGGGTGAGCCGTGACTGTTAAGACGCCTCATGGCTAAGGTGCTTGTAGTTGTGCCATGCTCCCCCTCCCTGTGATGTGCTCCTTAAGTGTTGTAGAGAAGAACTCTGTGGCCCGGTGAGCTTAGAGGCATAATTATCTGGGCTCCACTGACCCCTGAGACCCAGCATCATTAACATCCACTGACTTCAGTTGAGCAGACAAACGCTGACACCGCTGTAGTAAACAGTTCCACTGAAGCGGCACTAATGAGGGAACAGGTTCTGATGGTACCAGGATCCAGGATCTTGTCCAAAACATCACTGGACTGAAGTGAGGTGATGACCCTGAGGGATCCGATTGTGCCCGTTTCCTCTTCTCTTGAAGCCGGTTTTAAAACAGTGATTTGGAACTCCACTGGACCCAACCTCTGTGGACCAGAACGTGGGGGCTTGCTGGAAAGGATGCCCATCTATGATGGTCTTTGTGGGTCGTGGAACTGCTGCCACAGCATCCCGAAAGTCTGGGTCTGTCTTTGCTTTTTCACACATGGAGGTTAGTGCCTCAGCTCAGCTCAAGCCTTTGAGCTGGAAGTCCGGGTCTGCAGTGCTGCTGTGGAGTAAACACTGTTCATCCGCTCCCAGGAGATCTAGAACCTCAACGCCTCACTCCATTAGAGGCTTCTTCGTCATCATCTAAAATGTAAAGTGTCCTGTGTGTTTGGCCTTCCTCCAGGAGCAGGGGGCTGGTCTCCCATGGTGACAGACCATGACCCGTGGCTGCAGGTGGACCTCCGGGAGCAGATGGAGGTGACGGCTGTGGCGACACAGGGACGCTACGACAGCTGGGACTGGGTCAGCAGTTACTTGCTGCTCTACAGTGACACGGGTCGCATCTGGAAACAGCACAGGCACGAGGACGGGCTAGAGGTGAGTCCGAGCCTGGATTTTACACTTTAGTGTTTTTACTCAGTGTTCTATTTGCAGTGAAATCCTCCAGGAATGAGTAAAAGACCTGTAGACGATCCGGGATGCAAGCGAGCGTTACAGAGAAGGCTGAGGCTGACTGGAGGGATGGATGGAAGAGGGTGATGTTTCAGATACGTTTACTCTTTGCTTCCTAGCTGAGGGTTAGGGGAAGAAGGTCGGTGCCACGTTAGTGTGTGTTTGCTACGTGTGGAGCTGATTAGAATAAATTAGCATAAAGTCTGGGAGCAGGGAGCGAGGGGAGCCGGGCTCCAAAGGTCACTAACTGTTTGTATAATCTATAGAGGAATAGAAATGAGGAAATGTCAAGCTGTAGTTCTGCAGGCAGCCTGAGCGTTACTGTTTACTCTGCCTCAGCACATCCACAGAACCCGCTAACCAGAATGTTACTGAGAAATCTACAGTAAGGGGCCGTACCAGCAGTTGTTCACAACACTGGCAGCTATGTGCACGAATACCGACCCGGCAGACTGTTTTCACACTCTGATCACAAACAGTGATAGAAAGAATGACAGGCAGGCTGTTGGAGCATGGCTACAGGCCCTCTGCAGTATTGATGGCATGGCAGGTCAACGTCCGATAACATCCTCTCACTTTCTCCAACACCTTCAGAGGTGTGGGAAGAGTCTCGTGTCAACACAATTATTACGCCTCCTCCTTTTGTCCTGCATGTAAACTCCCAGCAGCCTGCTCGTGGATGGAGAGGCTAAGAAAGAAGCCCCATGTTGGCACATGCCATTAATTCTTTATTGTGTTTGCCCCAGTTATGTCAGAGGCTGCCAACAAGATGTAAAAGTGTGTTTCAGAGTGTTTTTCTACTTGGCAGTCCAATTAGCAGCAAGCGTAGTTGCCCAGTGGCGTGTCACTGCTGCAAAGCGGTCTTTTTTTATTGTGGCCAAATTAAAAGAGCACAATGATGTGAGAGCGAACAATATGTGTAGTTCTGTGCTGCTCTGAATTATTTATGTACCCGCACCTATTTAAAAATGTATTATCTAAAATGCATTGGAACGTAAGAATCAGGCAGCAGGAGGCTAAAATAAGGTTTTCAGCCCAATCCTGCAGCCGCCTCCTTGGGCCTGCAGGAGCCACAAAAGCAACGATGCTCTCTTGGTTAGTGCGGTCAGGATCTAGAACGACACCAAGTGCCAAGGCTCAACTGCACTAAATTCATTTCCTCCTTAACAAGAAACCAGAGCCAGGAGACCCAGGGATGCAGCAGAAGCTGCTGGTCAAACATCTGCTCAGTGGTGGAGCTCCGTCAGATCCATCCTGGGTACTCCGAAGCTGAGTTTGTGATCACTACCACCGCTCCCACCCCCTCTCGCCTCTCTGTACATCGGTCACAACAAAAACAAGTTGACAGGCACCGCCCAGTTAGTCTGGCAGACCGAGGAACGCCTTTGTTGTTTGGGACATTTTTTTTTGGTATTCCTAGATATTTAAATTTCCTATCTTTAGCTTCCTGTTATTCATGCTGTTAGTAACCTCCTTCGTCTGGCAGAGTCAGGACCCACAGGGCTGCTCCGGCACCACTCGTGTTGGGTCCCATTGCAGGGCTTGTCATGTTGTGGGGCAAGAGTCTAACCCAGGACATGCAGAATCAGAGTCAGAGTCAGATTGTATAAAAAATATATATATTTATTGACGAAACGGTGAACTAAGGGCGCACTGGAAAATCCAGCAGGTGCAGAAATGGGAAGCAGCGTCTAGAGGGAAAAGTAGCAGAGGTGAGTTGTAGAATGGCAGGGGAATTGCTGGCTGAGGGACTTACAGCTTAGATAGACGAGAAGCGTGTGGGAGGGGTGAGCCGGGGTAAGTCCAGGTAATGATTGTAGAGCGGTAGAGGTGAGTGAGGAATGGGATCCGGACCGGTGTGGTTCTGGAGAGGGAGCGAGAGGTGGAGGAGATCGGGTCGGCACTTGGAGGAGGGTGAACCAGGAAACAAACCAGATAAAAATCCAAAATGGCGTTGGGGAAAACTCTGATGATTATCCAGACCTGAGGTGGGGTAAAATCCAAAAATAGAATTAATCCAAGTCACGAGAGAAAAACACGAGAGACCAAGAGCAGAGATAAGCGAGGCCTAGAGACTACCAGTCAGTAGTTAATCATCCGGCGTCGAGTCATGTCCACCTTCCTCCTTAAAAACCGGCCCGCTGATCAGCTGATTGGAAACAGCTGTTGCTCCCTCTCCTGAAACCAAAACACCCATTGATAGCGAGATGGTGAGACGAGGACTCACCCTGGCTCAGGACAGGGCTCTAGTACACACCCCGATACCAGACAGCACTGGGGCTACCGCTCAGCCTTCAGACAGGCAGACTGACTGAAGACACGTGATTTCTATGAGAACCGTCATTTTAGTCCGGACCAGACATCTGGTGTTTACAAATATTTGAGTTGAACAACAATTCAGTAGCTTCACTTTCAGTCATTTTGAAATTCATAATGAATGTTGTTCATTTCAAATATTTTCAGTCTTTCTTTCCTTCTCAGAAGAGCACTCCTCCCAACCCTTAGTGAGGAGGGTGAAGCGGGTTGGTCTGGACACTCAGCTCCTGGTGAACTGCTGTAGGAGTTAAATAGAGAACATTGTGACTCATCAGGTGGCCTCTGTGGTCAAGAAAATGCAGGGAATGTGGGAATAAGACTCCCAACCTTGAAGGCTGTAGATGCTGACCCAACACGCCTGTTTGCATCTTTACCTTCTGGGAAGATGTTGAAGATGTTGTTTGGCCCGAGCAGACATGTTGATTTTTCAAACGTAGACTGCTGTGAACTGAACTCCTATTTGGGTGTTTCAGCAGTCAACCTTGGCGTGAAGATGGACGTTGCATTCTGCATGGATGCTCATGTGGGTACGGTAGTAGTATAGTACTCTTCCTTTTATCATTTAAGACGTTTGGCTGAAGTAAAGCCGTTTTAATCTAGACGTGACCTTGAGACTGTTGTTGATGCTTTTATTACCTCACGTCTCGACTATTGTAATTCTGTTTTATTTGGTGTAAGTAAGGGTACTGTAACCCGGCTGCAGCTTGTCCAGAATGCTGCAGCTAGGTTCTTGTACAACAAAAGGAAGCGTGAACACGTGACACCATTTTTGGCTGCTCTCCACTGGTTACCTGTTGATTTTAGAATTTGTTTTAAACTACTTTTAATGGTGTTTAAGGCGCTGAATGGTGTGGCTATTTGATGGAGTTGCTGCAGCCATATGCTCCGACCCGGTCACTCCGCTCTGAGAACCAGCTGCTGCTTGTGGCTCCTAAGGCCAGGTTGAAGTTGAGAGGGGACAGGGCGTTCTCTGTTGCAGGTTCGAAACTGTGGAACACACTGCCCCTAACCATTAGGGACTCTCCATCAGTAGCAGTTTTTAAAATGAGGCTGAAAACCTACTTTTATAATCTGGCTTTTAATTCTGTGGGTTAGCAATTGCTAATGTTTTGTATTTCGTAATTCTTATTTGTGGATTTAATTATGTCTGTGGCGCTATGTGTTTTATTGTTTTATTCTTTTGTTGTACAGCACCTTGGTGGCATGCTCATGCCTGTAAGGTGCTTAATAAATAAAGGCTGAGTGAGTGAGTGAGTGAGTGAGTGAGTGAGTGAGTGAGTGAGTGAGTGAGAAGATGTAACCAGGAACAAATGGACCAGCTTCTTCCTGTCCCTGGTCTCGTTCAGCCCCCTACCCACCCTCCCGACTCCTACCGTAGCTGCAGCCTCCTCCGTCGCTGTTGTCAGTGATCGTCACGTATCCATGTGAGGATCACCAAAGACAACACGCTCATTGTTGCACGATCACAGCGTTCCTCTTGAGGTGTGAGGGTAAACAAGTTGGTTCTTTTAACAGCAGGGGGTACTGGCAGTCTTCTGAGTCGTCAGAACCGTTTGGTCCAAAAGCTCCTTTCATGTACGTCAGCACTTGTAACACTCGATCAGCAGCGCGGCTGCTGGCTCACAGATATTGAGACTGCATTCTGACATGTGCTGAAGAAGTCCTGCACGCTCACCAGGAACACACACAGGCCCAGTCGAGCTGTGGGACGCTTCTCAGTCGGCACCTTTAACAAACATATGGCATTTAAATGTATTTGTTGAAAACAGTCCTGACATGAAACCATTAAGCTGGAAACGTGTGTGGTGCCAGGAAAAATGTAGCAAATGTTTGTTTCAGTAAGATTATTAAAAGGAGCAAAACAAGTTTCGGAGAACGTCGACGTTCTGCAGGAAAGAAAACAAAAACACACGTTTGTTCCTCTGCAGCTGAAGAGGATGACGCTGCTGAGCAGAGACGAGACATGCAGATGTGTGCACACATCAGCGGTGTGACCCGCAGCTATTAGCCTTTTAACCGAGTCCATGAAAGAGGCTGACTTCTTTTCACGTGTTACAATTCAAACTGCACTGATCCGAGGCAAGCAGCTGCAGCCTTTCACAGCAGCTGACACCAGGAAAACACGTTCATTCAGACACCAAAGGTGTTCATGTTTACAGTATTGAATGCAGACACGCGTTGTTGTAAGGTTGGTGAATGGCTGTGATTTCTAAGACACCAGCCTGGGCTGGCTCCAGAGTCACCGAGACCCGCAGCCAGACTTCACATCACACACATCCTGGAGCTCAAAGGTAACCGTCCGCTGTCAGAAACCGAGCTGAAGGCATCTAATGAGAAAGCTGCAGCTGCTGACATCACTGTGAGCTCTCAGCCTCACACACGAATTCCATCTAGAACACTAAATACTGATGGAAATCACCGCTAACATGGCTGCAACGGTGTTAGTTATACGAGCTTCAAGCCTCAAAAAAACAACAACAACAATAACAATAATAATAATGGGAATAGTAAATTGATATGTGTGCAACAGTGTCAAGTACCTAAGTACAAATGATTTATTACTTTACTGAAGTAGACGTTTTGGGTTTGTTTTTCACTAAAGTATTTCC